CTTGCCAACCTAGCAGTTTGAAAGCAAGAAATTGCAAGTAGACAAATAGGTACCGCTTTGGTGGGAAGGTAACAGCGTTCCGTGCACCTTGGCGTTTAGTCATGCTGGCCACATGACCACGGAAACGTCTTTGGACAGCGCTGGCTCTTCGGCTTGGAAACAGAGATAAGCACCGCAACCCTAGAGTCGGACTCGACTGGCTTTCGAGCAAGGGAAACCTTTACTATGGTCTCCTTGGGAGGAAGGCAGCATGGTACAGTCCGATCTCATCAGATCTCAGAAGCTAAGCAGGGTCAGTACTTGGAAGGGAGACCACCAAGGAAGACTCTGCTGAGGAAGGCAATGGCAAACCACCTCTGCTTCTCTCTTGCCTTAAAAGCCCCTTGCTGGAGTAGCCATGAATCAGTTGTGACCAGATGGCATATTACACACACAAGGACTGAGCCGGCTAAAACTAAACCCGGCGAAGACAGAGGTCCTGTGCCTGAGTCGGAGTGGACTGGGGTTGAGGCTCCCTCTCTCGACCTTCGATGGGGCACCTCTGGTGCCAGCTTCAGAGGTTAGGAGTTTGGGAGTGCTCCTGGATCCCTCCTTAACTATGGAGGCCTAGGTGGCAGCCACTGTCAGATCGGCGTTTTATCATCTTAGGCCTATTTCGGCAGTTGGTTCCCTTCCTCGGCCGTGATGACCTGGCTACAGTGATCTACGCGACGGTCACCTCGAGGTTAGACTACTGTAACGCTGTCTACATGGGGCGGCCTTTGGTGCAGATCCGGAAGCTGCAGCTAGTGCAGAATGCGGTGGCCAGGCTGATGATGGGTCTCCCCAAGTGGGAGCACATCCAGCCTGGGCTGAAAGCGCTGCACTGGCTGCCAATAGCATACCGAATCCGTTTCAAAGTGCTGGTACTTACCTTTAAAGCCCTATATGGCCAGGGTCCGACTTACCTGAGGGACTGCCTTTCCCCACATATACCCCCAAGAGCACTTCGGTCTAGGGTGCAACATCGCCTGGTGGTTTCAGGCCCCCGGGAGGCAAGGCTCGCCGTGACTAGGGCCAGGTCCTTTTCGGTGGCGGCCCCTACCTGGTGGAACAAGCTCCCAGAGGAGATCAGGGCCCTGTGGGACCTTATGCAGTTCCACAGGGCCTGTAAGACGGAGGTCTTCCGCCAGGCTTTCCCATAGGTGCCGCCACTACCACCGCCACCAATGATGTGGACAACATCGGGATTAAGGATGGGCCGGGAAGATCTGCCACAATTTTTGCGCGACTGATACCACCGGACTTACTTGCTCAGGATCAGCTATAGGGCAACATCATCCCCGGAGAACTGTCTGTTTACCATCATGGCATACATCCGGGGACCATCCTGCTTTCAACTGAGTATTATTGTTGTTGTGATTAATTGTTATTCATGTTTTTATTGCTTTTACCCTGTTTCATATGGGCTTTGCCCCCTGTAAGCCGCACTGAGCCTGCTTCATGGGGAGGGCGGGGTAAGAATCCCAATAAATAAATAAATAAATAAATAAATAAATAAATGAGGTGAGTGGTGTTAGCATGAGTTTCCTACTTGCTTGTTACATCTCTGAAATATCACTGCATCCCTTACAGGATGCAAGCAGTTAATCACTGTGTTTGGTCTAATCCCTTGTTCCTCATTCCTAAATGAAATTAAACCTAAGTCCTGCATTTGATCACTTTATCTTCCCCCTCAGCATCTTCCCCCATTAGTGGAATGTCAATTGTAAGTTCGATGGCACAGGGTCCTGTCTTTCTGTTTATACTGCTGTGTAAAGGGCCATGGTACATGCAATCCAGTCAAGCAAAGAAACCAAGTTAATTCTGCAGCCTTAACACTAGAACATGTACAAACTAAAAATGAAAAGATGAATTGTTAACAATCAATTTGTTCATTTCATTAAACAGATTTAAAACAGGGACTTAATACAAGCTTTTCATTAAGAGCTGTCATTTGTGAAATTGCCTCTGTGCTGACTCAATTGCTTACGTAGCTTCCTGGATTCAAGACTTGCTCACACAAAGTGATCATCGTAGAGAGTCTGCATGGTGTAGTGGTTAAGAGCGGTGGACTCTAATCTGAATAACCAGGTTTTATTCCCCACTCCTCCACATGAAGCCTACTGGGGTGACTTTGGGCCAGTCACAGTTCTCTCAGAACTCTCTCAGCCCCACCTACCTCATAAGGTGTCTGCTGTGGGTAGAGAAAAGCAGGATATTAAAAACCTACTCTTCTTCAGGAACAGGCCCCTGATCAATTTTTGCCCCTTCATGAACAGCTGGTCTGCTCTGATTCATCATGCAGACCAGGGAATTCCCCATACCACAGCAAACCTCCATGTGATCCACACATGAAGTTACAACATGTGAATGTCTTGCTGAAAGAAGGCAGTTACAACATGGGGGGAAAGTTAAGCTACTTTGGCACGGTGGCTGTGTCAAGAGCAATGGCTCTTAAACTGAATAATTTGATCTTACAGATGTGGGGATAAGAACATTTCCCCCTCTTTTAATACCTCCCTATCCATGTATGAGGCACATAATATTTGGGTAGAACTGAACCCAATTAAATTGTAACTGTTCTTCCAATGAGACCCCAATTTAACCTAAAAATGAAACTATATATAAAGATGGGGAAAAGTATGTAGATATGATACCCAGGGTCTATTTTTCTCCAGTGTTGATTTCTATGAGGTCTGTGAGATCCCAGATACCTTATATATGCAGCTTCAGCTCAAACTTTCCAGTTTTACATTAAAAGAAAAAAACCTGAACAGCTGACACCTTCATATTCTAACAGCTGCATGAAGATAAAAATAGCTGTGTAATAACTGAGATTTGTCACCAGGTTGAGGGTCATTTGAATTTCCTACAATACCCTTGGGCATCCAGTCTATAATTTCCTCTATCAGCTATAGTTGATGCCTGATACAATGGCCCTTATATTGAAACCCTTGAGTTAAATAATAATAATAATAATGTTGGCAGAGTGAAATTGTGAACAGAGAGGCAGTAGCTTGCCTCAGCCATCAAGTAAATTCATGATCTGGTATTAGGTGTCCCAGTTTTAAGTACAATTCTCTCCCTGTCTCTATTTAACCTTAGCTGTGCAATCACATTCACAAAAGCTACCAGCATAATGAAAATTTTTACTAACTTGCATTCTTATACTTACCGTTAGTTATCTATGTCCTAAGGGGGGAGAGGATTAAAGCTTTCCTAGCTGCTCACCTGGAAAGGAGATCTTGCTCTTCACAGGCAACTAAGTGAATGGCTATTAAATAAGCCACTAAAAGCTTTTAAATGTTTAAGAAAAGACACAATGACATTTAAATGGGCCTACTCCTTCCACTACATATGCTGATTTTCACATCTAAATGGCTAGAATCAAAAGGAGTCAGGCTGTCTGAAGGGACCCAGGACTTATTGGGCAAGCTATGAAAATCCAGTACTGGTTGCTGAGACCATCATGAGCTGGTGTCCTTTAGCGTCAGTCTAGTTCCACTTGATCAAGCCCATAAAAAGGAGGAATGATGGCAAACACATGTTGAGGAGTGAAAAAAGGTTTTATGAATACATTCAATTCTAGGGTTGTTGTTTGTTTGTTTTTAAAAGTTAACACTATCTCTCAGTATTTTAAGAAAATACAGTTGGCAGGGGGGGAAAATAAAAAGCAGTATTTCAGTCTCATTCAAAGCTATTGTATCTTCATGGATCTTTGTCTGCATTTGCAACAAGGCCTTCTGATGTACACTTGCCATGTTACATTGTTTGGAATAGCGTGTTCCTTTAGCTACAGGGCCCAGGTGCTTGGGCGGCCACTAGACCTGAACGTTTAAGCAATATGAAAAAGCATATGCCAAGAGAATGTGAGCAAACATTTCTCTTTGTTTATATTGCTGCCTTATTCATGCTTATGTTGCTTACACATCAGTTCCCTGGCAGGGGGGGCGGGGGGGGGGGACACTTACAACACACTCTGCTACCTGCAAGGGAAACTAACAGAAGAGAATTTTGGACTGAAATTTCTTAAAATGATTTATGAACAAAAAATCTCTGCATGGGCACGGTTTTCAGATACGTATGGTCGCAGAGACATAAACTGTCATATCAGATGCAAATAATGTGAATTTGACAAAAGTGTTAAATTATGCCAATAACAAAAACAAAAAACAAAAACCCCAGTACAAGAACATTTTAAAAGATACAACAAGGTCTGGTGTAAGCACAGGCGGGCAATCCCTGTGTGCTTAAAGCCCTCTGCAGTCACTGGCTGAGCTGCTGGAATGTTATGGAAGCCCAGAGGACACAGCTGCAGGAGGAGCAGTCACTTCAGTGCCCAAAACAAGACCCTGCCACCCACTTGAGCTGCTATGTCATAGTCTTCACCAGCGGCACAGGGACTAATGGAAAAGTGTGCTGTTGAGGAGGAAGGGGATACAAAGCAACGAGGAATGCAGAGTTCCTAACATGGCCTCTACTGACATCTGTGGCAACTTCTATGACTGACAGCTTATTTATGAAACTAAATGTTGAGCTAGGTGCTGTGCTATCAGGGGGAAATCTGTTCGGGAGTTTTGTTAAAGCAAATATTCTGCTTAGGAGTACCACCTAGTATCTCTGCTTGTGGAAAGAAGGGATTTAGGAGAAAAGGCAAAACTTATCGTGAATGTGTGCAGAGCTCTACTAAGAACGTAAGGCTATGCTTTTGTAGCCTAGCATTTCCAAGTAAGTAGGCGCAGGAATGAAACCTATATCTGGCCTGGACCTTTTCAGTCCCAATCGTGTTTGGCTTTGAAACAGTCTTGTGAAGTAGGTCACGTTCCAACTTTAAAGACAGGACCAAGGTGGAGAGCTGAAAGCTTACTTATTCCTCCACTCCCCACCCCCCCCCATTGATGTGTGTCAGCTTTACAAGAATGTTATTACATTCTCAGGACATACCTCGGGATTTCAAGGATCAATACAGCCTCCCTTACCTGATGCAATGTTTATAATTTCTTTAACAATAACATCCTGAGCTTCTTCATATTCTCCTCTGTTCTTTGCGTATTCTTCCTTGAGCTCTTTCAATTTACTGCACATAAAATTAAAAAAAAAAAACAGTTTGCAAGCTACTTTCAGTCCCCTTTGATTTTCCAGGAATCAAAAGGAGTATTTTCCCCTGATGAGCCATCCCTTTTGAGGTGAAGTCAGGACCTGGGAGTCGCGCACATGTTACAGACCTGTTGGAGAACTTCACACCATTCTTCTGGGTTTCCAAGACACTGTATTTCAGATTGTTCCTCAGTACTTTCTCCTCCCTGTAGGTAATCCGGAAAAAATGCCCATATTGTGCATTGCATTCCAATTTGATGCTCTTGCCAGGTTCCAAACCTATTCAACAGGAAGGGATGAGGGGGAAATAAACATGACTGATAGCAGCGTTATAAACCAACAAATCAAATTTTCATTATTCCCTACTCAATGAGTGAAATTTCTCTCTTAGCTGGGTTTTGCTGCTTCATAGTGTACCAGGCCACCTGCTGAAGAGTTAACTCATAGTCGCAGGGCTGCAATGAGTCCTAGCTGGCTAGACGAGAGCTAGAGGAGTTTGAAACAGTGGTTTCCCTTACTACAGAGATTTCTAAAATAAAATGCCACACCAACCTGAGATTATTCCACTGGGAAGGGAGAGGGCAGACACACCCAAACAGGAAAATTATTTTAACTAGGTTGACTGATGGGGCCATTAGAGAGGATGAGTGTATGTACCTAACATTCCATAGGCAACAGGTGCTAGACAGAATCCATTGAGCTACTTCCACTCCCCATCTCACAACTGCTAACTTACAAGTTTGCAGCAAGCCACAGTTTGTCTTTACATCCAAGCCCAGTAAACTATGGTTTGTACTTGTGAATCAGGATTCCAAAACCGAAAGCCAAGCACTGTTTGGAATCTTGCTATGCAAGGCACACATAATGACAATATGCTGTTTTGAATATCACAGCAAACTATGATTTTCCATAAACTTGGAAATAACCAATTATTTCACCATACGCACCTGGAAGAGGGAGCACATGATCTAGAGGAACTGCGAAGCTTGCTACTTAGCAGCAAATCACAGTTTGCAGTTACATCTGAAACATACCTTAGAGTATTGTGACACCTTAAAGACTAATAGATATGTCATGGTATAAGCTTTCACTAACTAGAACATTTAATCCAATGTATGAAATGTTGTCCTAAACTGGCAGATACTTACTTCAATATGAATGAACATGGGGAGAGTAAACAGTGAGGTCAATGAAATACAGGAGTCTGACATTTCTAAGCAATGCTCAGCTGTGCAGACAAATGAAAGACCATTCATAACAGCAGTAATTGAGATTACACAAGCATTCCAATTATGATGTTCTGATTTAAGACCTGTACTGGGAAAGAACTTCCTGGTCTTGATTAAGTCAGAAGAAGGAGAGGAAGAGGAAGAAGAGGAGGAAGAGGAGGAGGAAGAGGAGGAGAAAGAAGAGGAAGAGGAGGAAGAGGAAGAAGAAGAAATTGGATTTATACCCCGCCCTTCACTTGGAGTCTCAGAGCAGCTTACAAACTCCTTTCCCTTCGCCTCCCCACAACAGACACCCTGTGAGGTAGGTGGGGCTGAGAGAACGCTCTTTCAGGAACAGCTGTGCCAGAGCTTGTGACTGACCCAAGGTCACATCAGCAGGTGCAAGTGGAGGAGTGGGGAGTCAAACCCGGTTCTCCCAGATTAGAGTCCGCACACTTAACCACTACAACAAACTGGCTCTCTTGCACAGAATTAAACCTGAATGCACAGAATTAAACCTGGTAATAATAATTAATAATTATTGTATGGCAGTGTGTGTATTATAGCCAGGAGATCCTAAGATTGTCTGGCAGCTACAAGTTCTAGCTCTTTTTAAGAGTTATGCCACACTAGGTGGCAAGCTAATTGTTAAGGCAAGAGATATTTCAGAGGTGGTTTTCCATTGCCTGCCTCTCATCATGCCCCTAGTATCCCTTGGAGGTCACCCATCCAAATACTAGCCAAGACTGACTTTGCTTAGCTTCTAAGATCTGACAAGATTGGGCTAGCCTGGGCTATCCAGGATTAAACCTTGTGATAAATTCTAACTCAATAAGAAATACATTATTATTTAAAGTGCACAATACTGTTGGTTGTTTCAGTAAAATAAAAGCATGGAACATCTCTCCCCCTTTTTACAACTTTTTGAAATGACCCCCCCCCCCAGCATCATGGTCAGTTTTGACCACATCTCATCTGGATTTTATCAAACTGTTAGTGGCCACATAAAATGAATCATGGGCCACCACCTCCCATGTGGGGGGGGGGGGGGCGGGGGGAGAGAAGAGACATGCTAAAAAAATTATATCCATATTTATAGTAATGCAATGTTTTCAAACATTCAGCTCTTCAGTGAACCTTTTCCACATCAACTTGTGTGCCAAAGAATCCCTGCCAGGGAACCTTTGCATTGCAGAGGATCTTGAGACATATTTTAGGATTGATAAGTGTGTGCAGCAGGTCTCTTGGCCAGGTTTCTTGGCCTGCATTAATAAACCAAGAGTAAATCCTAGCACATATCAGCGTTCTCCTGAAGCTATGCATTTCAGGAGAAGGTCAGCAGAGGTGAATAAGCTTGCTCTCAGATAAGCCATTATTCATCTCACTGGGGAACCTTATAGGCTCCTGAAGACTGATTAAAAAACTGCAGTATTATTTTAAGCTATGGAAAACTCTGAACACTGAATAAAACAACTTAACAAAATCCAACACTCCTCTATAGTAAAAAAAATAACAAATCTGTCCCAACATACTTAGCTCCCTGGCAGCTGTCTTCAGCACCTCCTGCATTTTTTCCTCTAGCTCATTCATCTTTTCTCTCAATGTAGACAGATTGGGATCAAAGGAAGGTTTCACAAGATATTCATGGATTTCCACCTAGGACACAAGGCAGAGAAACATCTACTAAAGCAGCCTTCAAGATTGCACAGTCATCTTTATCTTGCAAAAATTAAACATTCAAAATTAGTCACAATCAGCTCAACTTTACCAGCTTCTGGAACTATATACACTGAGTATGAAATCCAGCAGATTAATTCATTAAATCTGAGTGAACAAATATGTGTGGCAGATTTGTTAACATGCACAAAACGTTCCAGTCTGAGGCCTTAAAAATGATTGACTGGTCTAGCAAAAGTCAAAGGGTAATGCTTTCTGGGTCTGTATCAGCAGACTGGTGAATGATGAGGACGTTTCTGAACATTTTTGAATGATCCTCACAAAGTCTTCCTGTAGATTAGAAACTAGAATATCAGGAAGAGAACTACACCAGAACCTCTCTCCCCCAGTGTACTAGTCAAGGTTGTAAGAGTCCGTCCTACGCCGTACCCCATTACGCTGAGGACGTTAACAAAAGAATGGCTGCACGTGATCTGCATGTTCATTCTGTTTTGCCAGAGGGAACTCTTACAAATACACTTGCAGACAGATATTGGAAAAATCAGTCTAATTCTCAGGAGCCGACACCACACTCCTTCCCAGCATGACACCATTAGTAAAGATAAACTGATATGACTTACTGCCTTAAATTGGTGGAGCTTCAGGAAAACCAACAGGCCCAGCTGCAGGCCCACTGTCAATACTGGCACATTCCACTCCAGCAACCAGCTGTTACCCAACTGAACCACTAGAACTTCAGTACCAGAGGCTTTTCTCTGTCTGCCAGCACAGCTAATGACTGGTCACTGCTGAATCTGCTAGGAGTATACACTTTCACTTTAGGCCCAGGCATGGCATCATGGCTGTGTGGCCAAACTCTAGGCCTTGGTTTGCTCACTTGACAGGAGGTGGTGGCAGCTACAAGCATGGATGGCTTCAAGAGGGAATTAGATAAGCATATGGAATGGAAGTCCATCAGTGGCTATTAGCCACAAGGTATAGATAGGAACTCTCAGGCTGGGGCAAGTGATGCACTGTATTCTTGGTGCTTGGGAGGGGGGCAACAGTGGGAGGGCTTGTAGTGTCCTGGCCCCACTGCTGGATCTCCTGATGGCACCTGGTGTTTTTGGCCACTGTGTGACAGAGTGTTGGACTAGATGGGCCATTGGCCTGATCCAACATTGGTTTCTCTTATGTTCTTATCTGCACAGTGTGGCAGAGAGCAGAGTGAAGTTAGAATCTTTATAGCTATGACTTCAGTGCCTCTCAAACCTGACCTTCACCTTCTTAACAGTTCAGTGGCTTCTGATCCTGGCTGTCATCCACAGTCTGTCAGAGGCTCAAAAACTGGTACCCTTACTCATCCCAAAAGAAAACAATGAACTTGAGAGCCCAGCTAGATCAGACCAAGGGTTCAACTAGGAAACCTTGAAGCAGGATGTGAAGGAAGTAACCTTTGTGTTTTATTTATCCTGAGAATATGGTAGTCAGAGACATATTTCCCCTGAACAAGGAAGTTCAGAGACAGTAAAGATGGGAGAGTTCTGCTTGTGGACTTCTGACAGGTTTCTAGCCAGCTACTGTGACAAATGAGACACTGGTCTGAGATGACAGAAAAGCCAGCATGATTCAGTGGTTAAGAGTGTCCGACCAGGATCTGGAAGACCAGGTTCAAATCCCCATTCTGTCATAAAGCTTCCTGGGTGGCCTTGGACCAGCTACACACCCTCTCAGCCTAATAACCTACCTCACTGGATTATCCTGAGGGTAAAATGGAGGAAGGGAGCCACTCTGAGCTCCTTGGATGGAAGGCAGGATAAAAATGTACTAAACAAACAAATAAATATATTTTGTAGCATAGCAAGCTCTGTTCACTGTGTGAAAAGATGTCATCTAGTAATATGGGAAGCGTTAATTTAAAAAAAAAAAGTACACAAGAAATATGACAAACCAACCAGGAGAGCTAAAGTGGAGAATCCTACTGAAAACCTGTGGGATAAAGCTGATATACAGGTAATCAATTCCTAGTCCCTAGTTTAATGGAGCCTTCTCAAAAGCATGCTTCATTCAAGATGCTGATCTTATTCATTACATGTACATAAGAAATTTATTCAGTCATTGTATTTATATCCTGCTCTCTCTCTCATCGGCTCAAAACAGCTTACCGTGGTTCGTATTTCAGCAATAATCATGTCTGTGCTAGATATGATTGATATCTAGGTATCAAGTCTAGATGACTAAAAGAAAATGAAAGAAATGCATCGTTTCCACTCACTGATGTATCCTTCTAGTCATTCCCCTCCTTCTGAAAAAACTAACAAAATGCACTCTGGTCTAGTCTTATTCACTTCAACTCCAAGGCTGCAGTTCAAGTACATAAGGGGGGGTGGGGGTGTTCAAAACAATAAAACCCTTAGCATTGCCTCCCTCTCTTACTTTTCGAAGAGATACATTTGATCCTTAAAATAGCTTGTTATGGAAGGCAGGAGCCCACATCCACCTGACAAAGCAGCTGCAGCTGGTGGAAGATAAAAGTGATAATGGACAGCCTCACACACTCCTCCTCTGCTCAGAGGGAAGTTGGTTCTAAATGTTAATCCTGAGTAAACAAAGCGTGAAGCTTCTTCACGGAAACCACATTCATGCTCTTTTTAACGAACATGCCAAAACAGATCAAAAACTAGATGGGTGCCCTCCTGGAGGTTCACTTCCAGAAGTAAGAATATTTGCAAAAAAGATGCAGCTGCTACTGTGGCCACTTAGTCAAGAGTTTTGTTCTCAGGTTTGCTCATTAGGGACACATTAGCAAACAAGAGGATGGGTAACAGCGATCATCTTGCACATTCCCCAAACAGCCCTGAAGCCCTCCTAATGAAATACAGCACAGGGTCCGGTTGATGGCGGCACGCTACACAGACGCATCTCCCAGACCTCCCGGGGATGAGGTCTGTGCACGGCGGGAAGGAGGGGGAGCGCTGGCCTGTTACCCCCCCAGGAAGCCTGGTGGAAGGCGCCTAGCCAGCGGACTTATGAGGAGTCGCCTCTTCGCCTATGCGTTGTGGGTGAATTGAGGCGCTCCTCCGTCCCAATGGTCCTTCCTGCACTGTGCCCGAATGGAACTTAGTGACGCTGACCGGGGCAAGCGTAGGAGATCAAGCGGATGAAATGAAGTAAAGCGGGGTCGGAAGACCAGATATGAACGTGAGTCTGACTGAGCAAAATGACGGTTAAAGAGAAAAAGAAAGCTCCCTAACCCATGTTGAAAAACGGAAAGTGAAGCGGGCAGGGGAGGGACATCTCCTAACCACATGAACTTTTGAGCGAATCAAGGGGGGAGCGGAAGAGAAAGCATGTACAACTGTTAGGAAATACTCACCAAGGTGAGTTCAGGCGTTTGAGTGCATATTCAGAGACTTTCAAAATATTTCTCAAAGTAAACAATCAAGAAAGATGGCGGGGAAGAGGATGGAGAAAGAGAAACTCTTGAAA